GGGGGAGCTGATAAAAGCTGTGAACTTCCTTTTGTGTTCGTCTTGATGCATTCTCAATCATCCAGGGAAATAAATCTCCAAAAGTCACCAACTTGGAGTGGTTAGTTTCCTGAGCCACAAGGAAACTTGTGTTTCAGTTTGTCATCTTAGGGAGAAATCAACACACATGTGTGTAGGTCCTTTGTTGCTGAGATTTATTGATAAAAACAGTACAAAAAAACAAACCATTTGTACACATATTTACAAATAATAATAAAAAGTGAGTGAGTACATTTCAACATTTTCTGTCACCCTTTACAACAAAACAAAGTGTGGCGTCAATGTGATGGACCAGATGGTTCGGGAGTACACTGTCCGCAGAGGAACACGGCGCTGGCCAGTTGCCGTGTTTTACAACATGATTGACATGGCAGCACTGAATCCACATGTGCTGTATCAAGCATGCACCGGGACGAAAGAAAGACGGGTGGACTTCCTGGTGGACACCCCCACTCCCCTCCAGAATTCTCAGGTAACAACCTAATTTACATATGAATGACTAGCCAATTTAGCTTCCACTTGGCTGAAGCTAAAGCCTAGCTAAACACCTACCAGCCATTTGGCTGGAAGGCAGGTTTTAAAGGTAGAAAAGCCAAATGGCTGCTCTCTGGGACTCTTAAGCTGTGGCCTTCACATGTTTCCTGCACTTTGCTTTCTGAAACACCTGCAATCAAACTCCACTTACCACCAGTTTAAAAGTTTAGATTCTTCTGTCTGTTTAGTGTTAGTGACACTCAGGCTCTTAGTTACTTCAGTGTTTAAAGTTCACGCTGATGTCAGTGCCTCCATCTAACACTTAACTTCTCTCTTCTACTCTGTCACAGATTTCTCCTCAGTGCTATCCAGAGGTGTGTTGCCTGATCTTCCTCAGTGTATTACCTCTGTAAAATCTACATGGATTGCCCCTTTGTTTGTCAAGACTAGTGCAAAGAAACCCAAAGGCTCACAGCAGAATTTACATCTACAAAATTAAAGAGACGAACGGTGGGGCTAAAGCGCATGAAGAGGAAGTTCACATTTCACACCAGCCTCAGAGGTTTTAACCACTGACAGTTTGTTCCAGCCTCAGTGATACTTGTTGTTGACAGCTTAAAAAAGGCCAGTCTTATCAAATGTCCGATCAAATGTTGCGACTGGTGGAAATATGAAAGCACAGCTCTGCTAGTTATTTCTTTGGACATATAACTTTTTTCCTTTTACTTAACTACTATCTTAGTAAGGAACAAACGCTTTGGAACTTTTCTGTTCACTATTTAATTTCACATAATTTTATTTCATCCACCATAGGTAAGTACCAAGGGGTGTTTAAATGAAGATCACACCCAAATGTTTATCAGAAAGAGCGAGGAAAGCCACAGGCTGAAACACGTCCAATTCTTTCAGATAGCATATGATAATAAAAGCACACATACTGCATTATTATACATTTTAAGCATTGTTTGAAACATAAAATTTAAGGTTCACTGTTGGTGGCAAAATATTTACAGATACAACCAATCAAAATTGCCGCTTTCAGCCAGAGGTCAGCTGACTGACTCTTAGTTGTCAGCTAGCAGTCAGCCACTGGGAGTCCCCGCTCTTTCCCTTGGGCATATGTGCTTTCCACTATAAAAAACACCATCCCCAGTATCAACAAGGATGGTGTTTTCTTTTAAAAAACTTGTTGTTGTCATTGTAGGGTCTTTACCTTCTAACACAAAGCACATTGAGGCCACTGTTTTGACTGAATATTAAATATACTGAATTTCACATCCTTTTGATAGCTTTTGGTTGTAAACCTCTTCACCAATTTTCATAAAATAAATGGATGAAACTTTAAAGCCCGTCTGACCATTCAGATCAAATTAGTGATGTGTCCATCACGAACGGAATGGCTCTTTGACGTGAACGACATGAGCCGGCTCCTTATCGCAAGCCGTGGGGTTTTTTTTTTTCCTTCACTCACCCTCTCTCTCTCTCTCTCTCTCTCTCTTGCACTTTTTTTCCACTTCACTCTGCTTCGAGCCTTGTGCTTTGCGCTGGGGAGACGGAGGAGGGGCGGTAGTTACACTGGCAGTGGCACAGGAACAGAGCGGGAGGGAGAGACAGAGAACGAGAGTCAGGGACAACAACGTCACATTAGAAAGGTATAGTAATCATCCACAACTATTTTCAGTTGCGGATGATAAAAGATTCAGAAAGTTTATTCATGCAGACCCATATGACAGAGAATATGCATCTTCTTTTTGTTTTCATATTTTAATTTATATTTAATTGTGTTGTGCTTTGCAGTGTTTTGTGTTGTTTCATTTTAAATTTGTTTAAAAGGAAAAAGCTGAAAATTTAAATAGTTAAAAGTTGAACTGTGAATAGTTGGTTTTTGTAATATATGATTTATTTATTACATGTTATGTGGAGTGAATAAATAAAAGTATATTTACGGTGGCCCTAGAGACAAAGCACATACAAACTCCAAAACACGTACAAACTCCAAAACACGTACAAAACACAACAGAAGTGCTCCAGGATGCTATGTGCAGTGTTGAGCTTTTGTTACCTAGAAGCTACACAAGCCAG